GTAATTTATTCCTGTGATCAAAGCTGAATTTACAGCATCATTACTCCAGTCTTCAGTGTCACATGATCCTACAGAAATTATTATAATATGATGCTCAAGAAACATTTATGATTATTATCCATGTTGAAAACTTCAGGATACTTTGATGAATAGAAAGTTCAAAAGAACAGAATTGATCTGAAATGGAAAGCTTTTGTAACATTAATCACTACCTTTCAAAAGTTTGGGGTCAGTAAGAATTTATTTTTATTTATAGGGGAAAGAAATGAGAAAATACTTTTATTCATCAAGGATGAGTTAAATTGATCAAAAGTTACAGTATAAAGACATTTATAATCTTTGAAAAGATTATATTTTAAATAAATGCTGTTCTTTTGAACTTTTTATTCATCATATAATTTTGGGTGGAAATGGTACACGACTGTTTTCAACATTGAAAATAATAATTTATATTTTTTGAGCATAAAAATCAGCATATTGGAATTATTTCTGAAGGATCATGTGACACTGAAAACTGATGTAATCAGCAACAGTAATGATGTTGAAAATTCAGCTTTCAAAGTACATTTTAAAATATATTAAAATAGAAAACAGTCATTTTAAATTGTCATAGGCTAATATTTCATGGTTCCGGCCGATGATTGGGCCACAACCATTCCGGTTTCTTCACCGGGGGAACTCCAAGGACTATTTTGCCGAATCTGTCTGAGCATGTACGTCTCACACAATCCAGGAAATACAGGATATTTTATGGGAAATACTAAAACGGGAAGCCAGTAAAAGAGCTAAAATACGCGAAAAACCCAGAAAAAAAAAAACGGGAGGGTTGACACTTCAGGAGTGAACTACAATATTTATAGTTAAATAATATATATTGTTCAATAATTTCTTTATATATGTCTTTTAATAAAATGCATAGATAACATTCATATTAACAATAATAATGATAATAATAAACAACACACTATGTAGGCTATATAACTGCATTATAAGTGTTAATTTAGATGCACTCATACTGTATTTCATAAAGCTAGTTAAAAGTAAAAGACACTAGCTTGCCTGTGCAGGATATATGATGTTTCTAAGACACTCCTGCAGTATTTCACACATGTGTGTGGCAATTAGAGCAAATATAACCCCTGACAGTTCAGAAATTGAGGAACTGACCCCAGGGTACATATAATATTATCTATATTCCCTTTGGTGCCACAAGCATGCAATATCTCTATTTCATTTCATAAGACATTAAAACATTGTCCTAGGAGAATGGTAATGGCCTTCCGCGCTGTGAACTTCTAACCCTGCAGCGAGAGAGCAGAACTGAAAACCACATTTTACTGTCTGTCAAGCATGTAATGAGCCGTCACATTGTCTGTGTGTTCATATGGCCCATTTCTTGACATTGCTTTGACTTTTCCAGATTAGTTTTAAAATATAGAGATGGCTAAAAATGGAAACATTCAACAATTCAGGTGAGACTAAGCTCTGGATGATTCATAAGTAGTTCAGGTGATTCAGGAGGGCCGTTTTCATAGCATTCAAACCCATTACAGTCTTTTCATTTCATCAGCCTCAAATTAGGTTGATAATGTTTTTTATGAGGTCAGTATGGAGTTAATAACATAGTATATACTGTAATTAAGATAACATTACTCTTTTAGTTTAAAAAGTAAAATTTGCATGTAAAAATAGTTTTTTTCCACAAATAAATAGCTTTAAAAATCCAAAAATAATGATATGTGGAAAAAAAACTAAATCCCAATGAAGGGATGTTAAATAGATAATAAATTCCTAATTAGATATGATGAATAATTAACAAGCCATGTTTTGACCGATTCCATATGTTAGACTTAATACTCATAATCTATTCATGGTTTAAAAACATGAAACGTGATGTGGCATGAACTTTTTAAAGCAGCTCCAGATCAAAAATTAGTGAAGGTCACTGGATTAACTGAGAGAGGCTTTTGTCCCCAAATTTAGAAGCATCACAAATTATTTACATGGCATTTACATGGCCATTTTGTATTGTGAATATAGTCAAAGCTAAATAGCATGACATCCAACATAGGATTTTTTAGAAAGGAAATTTTAAAAGAGAAAAATGAGTTCTGGAGAATCAATACATTATAAATACAGTAGTTTAATGCCATGGTGTGAATAATATGTAATCCATATAAAAGCCTTTCTGTCCTAGTGACAAGCTGATGTACCCTTAATGGAAAATTTGGCTGCACTTTATTTTAAGGTGTCATTACTGAGTGATATTAATTACCGTATAATATTAATTTCTGACAGTACTGAACACGCGAGAAACTGCACACTTCAGTTACGGATGACATGAATCACACACACACCAGCTCAGTCAGGGTATTTAAAGCATCCCATCAGGTAGGATTACCGCCTGGCATGGGAGCAGAAGAACTCGGCACGGCAGAGACGTGCAGTTGATCAGCCGAGTGTATGAGTGACAAGTTTGAATCAACACTGAATTAAAAACATGTCTTGAACCGAATCAGCATATTAGAATGATTTCTGAAGGATCATGTGACGCTGAAGTCTGGAGTAATGATGCTGAACATTCAGTTTTTGATGAAAACATTCCAGGACTTTCTCCATATAATGGACTTCAATGGGAACCAAACGGTTCAAGGTCCAGAAGAGAGTTTCAGTGCAGCTTCAAAGGGCTTTAAACGACACCAGACGATGAATAAGGGTCTTATCTAGCGAAACGATCAGTCATTTAAAAAATAAATAAAAAAGTTTAAGTTTTATAAGCACAAATGCTCGCCTTGCTCTGTTCTGTGATGCACGTTCATGATCAAACTCGTTCATCAAAATGAACAAATCTTTTTTCGAGTCATGACTCGAAGGGTCCTAGATAAGACCCTGATTCATCGTCTGGTGTCGTTTAAAGCCCTTTGAAGCTGCACTGAAACTCTCATTTGGACCTTGAACCGTTTGGTTCCCAATGAAGTCCATTATATGGAGAAAATCCTGGAATGTTTTCATCAAAAACCTTCATTTCTTTTCGACTGAAGAAAGAAAGACGTGGACATTTTGGATGACATTGGGGTGAGTAAATTATCAGCAAAAGTTATTTTTAAAGTGAACTACTTCTATAATAACTGAGCACCAAATCAGCATCATGTGACACTGAAGAATGGAGTAATGATTATGAAAATTCAGATTTGCATCACAGAAATAAATTCTACTTAAAATATATATTTAAATAAAAAAACAGTTATTTTAAATTGTAATAATATTTCAAAATATTATTGTTTTTACTGTATTCTTTTATCAGATAAATGCATCCTATGTAAACATAAGATCATCATTAAGGATCCCAGTCACTCAAACAATAGCCTGTTCTACTGCTGCAGTCAGGAAAATGGTACCACATCTTTTGGGCCAATAAATCAATCATGGATCTGCTTCCTTCAGGCCACCCATATCTGTATTGAGGAGACAGCACGGCTGCCACAAACAAACTATAAACTCTATGAGCACCTTAATCAGTATGCCAGTGCTTAGCATACAAATGGTTATTATTATCCATTCAAATTTTGTTTGCATATATTTATCCCGTCACAATTTAGACAGAACAGATTCAGTGTGCTATTTTAGAATAAATATAATGTATCGTTATTTTGAATTTTGTATTTTAATTGATTTTTGGTAATATTATTTAAGAACATATATTGATGAATTGATGGAGAGATTTTTTTTCTATGGTCTTGCATAAAAAATAAAAATGACACCTATAAGACAACCTCACACACTTACAGTATTTAACTAATTTAATCTAATCTTTTTTTCATCCTATGCCAATTCTGTCATGGACACTGTCAAATTGTTTTGATCATACTGAACTCTAGTGGCCAGATATGGACAATACATTTAATTTTTACCTTTCCATGCACCATGTCATAAAGCTCGAACCATTTCAAATTGGTTGCTTGAACATGACAATGAGTTCACTAAAATGATACAGTCAATATTCTCAACCCAATATATCTTTGGGATGTGGTGGAACGGGAGCTCCGTGCCCTGGATGTGCATCCCACAAATCTCCATCAACTGCAAGATGCTATCCTATCAATATGGGTCAACATTTCTAAAGAATGCTTTCAGCATCTTGTTGAATCAATGCCATGTATAATTAAGGCAGTTCTGAAGGCGAAAGAGGGTCAAACACAGTATTAGTATGGCGTTCCTAATAATCCTTTAGGTGAGTGTAAGTGCACACTGATGTTATGTCTCTTCCACTTTAAATGCTTGATCTAGTTAATGTTATGGTGTCGACTTCACTATTCTCTTTTCAAAGATTTTTTTTTTTAAGTTATGGTTATCGTTGTTGTTGTGAATGTGCCTTAAATTCACCATTAAATAAAAATGACAATTCTTATTTTTTATGGAAAATTATTAATAATGTTTATAATGTATTATAATGTTTATTATAAATTATTTGTCCATGAATTTTTTTTACTTATAAAATTCACATGCAATCGTAATCTTTAATCAAAATAACTTACCCTTTCTCTTGCAGTGAATCTCTTCTCTGATGACCTAGCAAGCTATAACAAAAACATGATGCTATTTTAGGTTTAATTTGTAGAATAGGCAACACAAACATTATTATATGCCTGCTTTAAGAGTGTGACTTATGACTCAGAACATTTTATATACAAAAACCTACCAGAAGTAAAAGCAATAGTCTAGGCTACTCGCACCACCTTGTGGCCTTAAACAGGTTCAATTTCTGAACAATGTAAACAAAATGACTGCAAAAATATTGAGTTCCGTTTAAGCAAAGTATGTAGATTCCAGTAAGTGATATTCATCTCTTTTATATCATTCAAGCCAACAGTCATGCATTGCAATAGGACATTTGATGTTGTGTTTGTTTTGATATTTTTCAGTTCCTGAAACTCACCGGCGGGAACATCAGCGTCACGGGAGCGAGCACGTCTGAGCTCCGCCTTCTCCTCAACTTTGTTGCCTCTGCGGACGCGCGTCAGTCAGACCAGATCACTCGCAGCATCTTTCTGAAGGACATGACTAAACTAAACGGACAGAGAATGGATGCAAACGTCGTGGTACTCGGCACAGACAATGTTGGAAAATCTGGTGAGTTTTTATTTATTTATTATTATATACTATACATCCATAAAATGTATTTAGTTTTTTTTAGTCATCTTTTGACACTTTAACATCTTGCCATATAAGCAAATGCTCATACAAGTTTGTTTTGTAGCACTTATTGTCCGATTCCTGACTCGTAGATTCATCGGGGAATATGGGGATATTGGTAGGTTGCCCTATTCACTAATACGTCAAGTTACCTAAAATATTTTTACATGTTTACTAACTTCTATACTTTCTTTTTAGAGTCCCTTTACACTCACAATGTCGTTGTGGATGGACGAGAGCAAATTCTGAATATATGGGATGCTCCATATTCACAGGTGATTCAGGGTTTCAGAAACGGTTGTAAATATTCAAATTAACTTATTTTTGTCAGCTATTTAATCTTTTCAGATATCCCTAGTGAAGAAAACAGCATAGACCTCTAAGATGACGTGCTGGTCCTAGTTTGGCCCGGACCAAAAAATAAATAAATTTAGTCCTGGTCCGCTTAGCGATACAAAACCTAAAGCCATTGGGATATTCACAACCTGATTGGTCTGCTTTTATTACGTAGGCTATATTTCATGACAAAACTTACCAAACGAACAAAACAATATGTGCTGGGCTAAATCATGTGTTTGTTGTATGTGCATAGCCTACATTTGATGGTATTTTAACCTAGGTCACACCGCATTGTTTTGGATGTTTGGTAAGTTCCATCTCAAAATAGGCAACACGTCATAAAAGCTGACCTATCAGGTTGTGAACGCATCCCTTTGCCTTTACGTTCTGTATCTTAAGGTTTGCCTGATCTAAACGCTAACCAGGCCAAGGCTAAATTTTTTGGTCTGCAGCAAATTAACCAAGCGAACCGAACTACAAGTGTGTCCATACCCTTAGAAGTGGTTAGGCTAAGACCATCAATTCAAATTAGGCTGGTTTATACTGTTATCTACTGTTAGTGAATAAAAAATGATAAATAAACCATGTGAAATGTTGAATAAATATGCGGTGGTTGTCTTCTCATCAGGACCTGTCCTTCGAGTCCTTGATGTGTGAGAAAAGAGTCCAGTGGGCAGATGGCTTTGTGCTGGTCTACAGCATCTGTGACCGAGCCAGTTTCAACACAGTCTCCAGACTCATCCAAACAATCAAAACCGCTAAGGACTTTGTGGGCTTTGAGAAGATGCCCATAGTTATTGTGGGAAACAAGAGAGACCTGCACCATCGCCGTACGGTCCTCAGCGAGGAGGGCAGGCTGCTGGCGCTCTCCGCCGACTGTCAGTTTTATGAGGTCTCGGCTGCTGAGAACTACCACAGCGTCCTCATGGTTTTCCACGGGCTGGTGGATCGCATCAGGGAGTCCAAGGTGTCTGTGAAAAAATTAGCAGGCATCAAGAGCATTGTGAAGAGCATGTCTGCAGTGTTCGCCCGCAGGCGAACGGATTCGTTGTGAGAGCTCTGGAAATAAAGCTTACTCTATGTGGTCTGATGTGACCTATTTTAAACCATCGAGAGGGACAAACTATTGCTGTGGCTCCTAAAAGAGTCCTGGATCTCTCACATGACTACAGCTGGACCTTCCACTATGAGATTGTCTTAGTTTGTCTGCTAAAGTGACGGCATCCATTGAGAATGTATTGAAAGATTCAATGCTTACGATGCGGTGGCAGATTAATGCAATCAAAAGTGGAGTTAATATTCATAGTATGATCTCATTTGCTTACTTTAAGCAGGAAAGATCTCAGTGGTTCTGCAAATACTGTAATCATGATGAGTGTTGGCAACAGGTAAAAACGCTCTGGTGATGACGACCGTGGGACCGTTCAATGCTGTGTTCTAAATATATAAGCAGATGCAGATGTCTTTTGCTACATTTATCAAATACAAACGTCTCCCACAGTATTATCATACCGAGGAGTTGTCATCAGCTCAAGGCCGTCTTGCAGTTTAATCGCAATGGATTGTTTGTTGATTGCGTCTATGTGCATTCAGAGCACAATGTGTATTTCCCCCAGATTCTTTTCTAAGGCTGGTCTAGTACTTAAACACACCACTGTGTAATTGTGCTACAAAGTATAATAAATCACAGGGAAAGACTTCCCCTGAATGCCAATGCACAGTGCAATGTTACAATCATCAGCATATGAATATGCTGTTTTTGTATTGAATACATTGTTACACCAAAATCATGTATTCAAAGTAGCCTGTGCTAAAGGAGTAGTTCACTTTAAAAAAAACTTTTGCTGATAATTTACTCACCCCCATGTCATCCAAGATGTCCATGTCTTTCTTTCTTCAGTCGAAAAGAAATGGTTTTTGATAAAAACATTCCAGGATTTTTCTCCATATAATGGACTTCGATGGGAACCAAATGGTTCAAGGTCCAAAAGACAATTTCAGTGCAAACTGCAAACTGTTCAAAGGGCTTTAAATGATTCCAGATGATGAATAAGGGCCTTATCAAGTTAAAACGATCGCTCATCTAAAGAAAAAAAAAAAGTTTAAGTTTTATAAGCTCAAATGGTCGTCTTGCTCTGTTCTGTGATGCGCTTCCGTGACTCTCCTGTCTCGTTTATCAAAATGAACAAATCTTTTTTCGTGTCATTTGGTTCATTCAATGAACAAAATGAACAAGTTGACTCTGGAAAAGATTCGTTCATTTTGAGAGTCATGAACGCGCATTTCTTTTCGACTGAAGAAAGACAGACATGGATATCTTGGATGACATGGGGGTGAGTAAATTATCAGCAAAAGTTTTTTTTAAAAAGTGAACTACTCCTTTAACTTCAGTTGATGAAAGATTGCCAATAGAAATCTGAAGTGAAACAAATGGAGTGAATACATGGTGAAGAGCTGACAGATAAATGTGATTTATTTGTCATATATTTATAGACCACATAGACATTACAAGTATGCATGTAAACATTTTGATCTGTTATTCATATTAAAATATGGTCAAATTGAAGTGAAAGGCTATTTCTTCAATTAATATGCTGTATGTGTTGCATAAATCATCTAACATAACTGAATGACCTTTGCTGTAATGATTTGCTGTAAATGTCATTCTGGTATCTTGAAAGAGATACAAATCTGAGGACTTTTCCATCGAGCACATTGTCCCCTCAAAAACTAATAGAGGCAGTGACATGGCAACAACAAAAAAAGACTATGGCGTAAATAATTTATACTGGTACTTAATGGGTCACAACTGTGCAGTTTATGTGTAATGATGAAATCTCATTCCTCACATCTTAGTTTTGCAAGGGAATCTTTTGGAAAAAAGTGTATGATCACCAATTGCTGTGACTGTTGATACAATAAAAATATCAGTGAAAATTAGTCAGGATTTGCCTTGTCTCATTAATGATATTTGCACCATCTCTGCAATTACAGTTCTATATAAATTAGCCTTATATTCAAGCCACATCACAGTGTTGTTGTTTTTCTTAGCTACACTATAGCTAAAAGATTGATGTCAGATATTTTGAATGCATTAAAATGATCAAAAGTTAAAATCAAGGTATATTTCATGTTTTAAATTGTTGTCATTTTAAATGAAACACTTTTCTATTTAACGCATTTAAACACTCCAGAACAAAAGCACAGAACTGTTTTCAACATTGATTATAAAAAAAAGTTTTCTGAGCAAATCCGCTTATTAGACCATAGTATAGTAAAATCTTACTGACTGCAAACCTTTAAACAATAGCACTGTATATCAGTTCTCCAGAATGATTTATGTGCACAACAAAATAAATATGCTTTATTATCGAAAAGAAATGCATAAACAGTTCAGATGTATATAACTAGGTCACTGACTTTGAGACTTGAAAATCATCGCTCCATTCTCATTTTGCATTCCTGCCGTTTGGCACTGTGTGAATTTTAGAAGAGGAGGAGATCTTGGTGTAATCGGTCAGACTCTTCCTAGAGGATCGGTGGTTGGAAGATTTTTTGTTGCTCCCCCCAAGAACTACTTTCTGCTGCATAGGAATCTGCTTTATTACCAATTTCTTCAGCTGACGGGTTTCCTCCGATATCTCTCTTGGCTCTTTAGTCTTAAGAGGTGGCTTTTCAGAGTTGTGACTGGGACCGTGCATGTGGTCTCCCAAAATGGCCTCCAGCACCAGGGAGTCACTCAGACATTCTTCTGCTCCATCTTTCCCAGCCGGTTGGGAACCTCCTGGCTTGGAAGATCGCCTAGGAATCTGTTATGAAAGAAAACAAAAGCTATTTTTTAGTTTTCCACATGAAGGATCTCAAATATAGCAGAGATTATGGAATTTGGCAGTCAGGTACTGTTCATTCACATGAACGCAAGTATTAAAAACTGGCGAATGTCCTAGAGCTGTATAGCTGAAATGAAAAACATCAAGTATTCTTTGTCAGACATTAATGATAATGAAAGCCATAGAGTGCTACTTCACATCACAATGAGGACTTGTATGTGGAATGATAGCTTTTTTCAATGGCTATAGGCCTAAATGCGGTACTGGTTGGCCTGTCTCTTTTAATAGTTTCAAACACAAAAAAAAACCATTATTTGGGGAATAACGATTCTCTAAAATACAAAAAATCCCTAAAAACACCATCAGTAAGGAACAAGTCACATAACATCTCCCCATATGGACTGACAGCCAGCTGCTATAGGGCAGAGTAACTTTGGTGCCAGACCTGTTGGAGTCTCCTCCTTTTGTCTAGCTATTTCATGATCCCAAACAGTCCCAGGCCAGGGGTTAATTAGGGAGGGATGGATCTGTCTGTGGCCAATTACAACTCTTTATCACGTTCCCTGACCTCCATTGCCTCCAAAGTATAAGTGACTGAGCTCTGAGGAACAGTGAAGGCTTAAGATCCACCTCATTAAAGGAATAGTTCACCCAAAAATGAAACTTCTGTCATTATTTATTCACTTCACTTATTCAGTTGTTCCAAATCTATAAGACTTTCTTCTTCTTTCGACTTGAGTAAAGAGACATTGGAAAAAAATGATAACAAAAGAAAACACAACCAAATATAAACAAAAAGACAAAGACAAGGCAAAGTATCATGGCACTAATTGGCAAGTTAGTGGTAAAGAAACTGGAACAGCAAAAAAACACACACACAACAAAACAAAATCGTACACTAAATGAGTGGTTCTGGCACAAAAATTGGAAAATAAAGTCCAAAGAAAGTTTTTGTGGAATTTAAGGTTGTGAAGTATCGTGTGGCCTTGACGCTCTTCACTGTTAACACTGTGGTGCTATCGGAAATCTTTCACTCCAGATTTTACACTCAGTTAAACTCACCCAGATCCTTATAAAACACGCAAGACGCAAGCATCAACGTATCTCTCCCTCTCGCTTCTACAGATAAGCTCATGAACAAAAACAAAACTCTCAGACAAAACAACCCAGACATCTATAGAATGATAAGATCATCTGTGAGACAGGACTCACTTCTCAAGCGACACAAATTTTTAAAACAACATAATGTAACAAAGATACCAAGGCAATAAAGTGTTCCCCAAACTCTCTAAATGTGTTTTAAAGGATTAGTTCACTTTTCAAAAAACTTTTGCTGATGATTTACTCACCCCCATGTCATCCAAGATGTCCATGTCTTTCTTTCTTCAGTCGAAAAGAAATTAAGGTTTTTGATGAAAATATTCCAGGATTTTTCTCCATATAATGCACTTCAATGGGAACCAAACGGTTCAAGGTCCAAAAGACACTTGTAGTACAAACTGCAAGCTGTTCAAAGGGCTTTAAACGCTTCCAGACGATGAATAAGGGTCTTATCAAGCGAAACAATCGCTTATTAAAAAAAACAAAAACAAACAAAGTTTAAGTTTTATAAGCTCAAATGCTCAACTTGCTCTGTTCTGTGACGCACGTTCGTGACTCTCCTGTTCAAACTCGTTCATCAAAAAGATTCGTTCATTTTGAGGAACGAGTTCGAACAGGGGAGTCGCAAACGTGCGTCACAGAACAGAGCAAGTTGAGCATTTGAGCTTATAAAACTTTTTAAATGAGCGATCGTTTCGCTTGATAAGACCCTTATTCATCGTCTGGAATCGTTTAAAGCCTTTTGAACAGTTTGCAGTTTGCACTGAAAGTGTCTTTTGGACCTTGAACCGTTTGGTTCCCACTGAAGTCCATTATATGTAGAAAATCCTGGAATGTTTTCATCAAAAAGCTTAATTTCTTTTCGACTGAAGAAAGAAAGACATGGACATCTTGGATGACATGGGGGTGAGTAAATTATCAGCAAAAGTTTTTTCAAAAGTGAACGACTCCTTTAATACAACGCTAAAGCAAAATCAATGCATTTTGCGAGTTAATTAATAGGGAAAGGATTATAATAAACCTGAATTGTCATTCCAACCAGATGATACAAATGAGCCAATACTCAGGTAACAAGGGGGGCGGGGTTAAGACAATAGACAGCAAAGCACATAGAAACAAATAAAACAAAGCCATGTGCTCACACGTAAACATGACATGAAAATGCAGCCAATAAGAGCTCTCAATGACTGCGAGTTCCCACAAAAACACTACAACATGAAAGCATGTGGCCGATGGAAAACAAGAGCCATATGTGCTACACAGAACAAGACACAAAAGCACGTGGCCGATGATTAAAGGATTAGTTCACTTTTGAAAAAACTTTTGCTGATAATTTACTCACCCCCATGTCATCCAAGATGTCCATGTCTTTCTTTCCTCAGTCGAAAAGAAATTTAGGTTTTTGATGAAAACATTCCAGGATTTTTCTCCATATAATGGACTTCAATGGGAACCGGATGGTTCAGGTCCAAAAGATAGTGTTAATAACCATTTCAGATGCAGCTTCAAATGTCTTTAAACGACACCAGACGATGAATAAGGGTCTTATCATGCGAAACGATCGGTTATTTCAAAACTTATTCCAAAAATGTAACTTTTCTAAGGACAAATGCTAGCCTATCTCTATTCTGTGAGGCGCGTTTGCAACGTCACGTAATACGTAATTACGTTCAAAAGGTCACGGGCGACGTAGCCAGAAGTACAGAGTCAGAGTGTTTACAAGTTGCACGCATAGGTTGAACGTGCAAACTAACTCAAACGCCGTTTACAAAAAAGGAATTAAATGGTAAAACAACGATGTCGGACGATTTTGATTCTGTACTTCCGGCTACGTCGCCCGTGACCTTTTGAACGTAATTACGTATTACGTGACGTTACAAACGCGCCTCACAGAATAGAGATAGGCTAGCATTTGTCCTTAGAAAAGTTACATTTTTGGAATAAGCTTTGAAATAACCGATCGTTTCGCATGATAAGACCCTTATTCATCGTCTGATATCGTTTAAAGACATTTGAAGCTGCATCTGAAACAGTTATTAACTGTCTTTTGGACCTGAACCATCCGGTTCCCATTGAAGTCCATTATATGGAGAAAAATCCTGGAATGTTTTCATCAAAAACCTAAATTTCTTTTCGACTGAGGAAAGAAAGACATGGACATCTTGGATGACATGGGGGTGAGTAAATTATCACCAAAAGTTTTTTCAAAAGTGAACTACTCCTTTAACATGAATCGTATGTGTAACCCCTCAGGTCCTACTCGGCCCTCCCTGTGTGGGCCTCGAACCTGGATCTCCAACATGAGAGGCTCGAGAGTCGCCAACATCTGTCACTAGAGCATCTCTTAAGATCAGGGGAGTGAGGTTTACTCGCACAACTCTCAATAGACCATTTTGCAAGATGTAAACAACACTGGTCCAGAAACACTTCCCGTTTCAGTTTGTAACTGTTTTCTTTATTTCACATGTAAAGAAAAAATCTTAAAGACTTTTTTTTAACTTTTTGATTCAGTTAAATATGTTCTGTTGGTTGTATTTCATCCCAGCTTTTATGTAGTGTTAAAAAAGTGAAACAGGAAGTGCTTCTGGACCAGTGTTGTTTACATCTTGTAAAATGGTCTATAGCTGGCCTCGGTTACACATGCTATGTGGAAAATGACAACACAAGAACGCCTGGCCAATGAAAACATAAACCAGGCACTCTACAAAAACACACAAGACAGGAGCGCACTGCGACTGAATGAACAACACTCAATCTGTGCCAACATGGAGCACGAATGCCCAAACCCGAGCTACAGAACAGTGTCAGGATCCGAACATCCAAAAAGAGCGCACGGTTCAAGCTAACTCTGAACCGCACGCTCACAACGACAATACTGTTGAGTGTCAGGGCTCTTTTACCAATCTAAGAATAAACCAGACTGAAGTGATAAAATCCTGACATTATGCCACTGCACTCGCAAGCATCGAGTCAAATTGCTTGTATGCAATTCGTCGTATGACACGTCTTCTTCCAGCTGCTTTCTGGGTATTGTGATGCAATCATCATCATCATCTCTGTGCACAGTCCTTTCACTTCACTTGTTTGTGCTAACGGGTCTATTACAATATCAGACCTTGATTGATTCCCAGAAGCAACCAGTAGGGTTTGTACTGGTGGATATCTTCCAACGAGACTCGCCTGCTGTTTTTCAAGGAATCCCAGACCAATATGGCAAGAAGAGAAATGGGGAACTTTGAATGATTAATTACATTTCTCTCTGATCTCATCTGGTATACACATTGCAATAAAAGACGGGGGTTTAAAAAAAAAAGACTTGATGACAGCTATAGCTCAAGGAATACACTGCAGGAATATGTACTCAGCATGTAATGAGAAACTAAAGCTCTGCAGGCTGCATTGAATCAGTTCAGGTCTTTATGATTTTTAATTTTTTTTATTTTAACGAGTATTACTAAATATCACATGCACATGTAGGCCTGGTTTCACAGACTTTACTGGTGTGCATCCGGAGACAAAACAAGAGCTCTGATATATTTTGATGTCAGTGCAAGTTGCTTTCAGTTAAAACAGATCAAACATGAGTTTTAGTCTGTGACTAGCCTTAAAGGGATACTCCACTTTTTTGGAAATAGGCTCATTTTACCACTCCCCCAGAGTTAAACAGTTGAGTTGTACTGTTTTCGAATCCATTCGGACGATTTTCTGATATTTAGAAGAATATCAGTAACCAGACAGTTTCTGGTCTCATTGACTTCCATAGTAGGAAAAAATATATACTATGGAAGTCAATGAGACCAGAAACTGTCTGGTTACTGATATTCTTCTAAATATCAGAAAATCGTCTGAATACATTCGAAAACAGTAAAACTGAACTGTTTAACTTTGGGGGAGTGGTAAAATGAGCCTATTTCCAAAAAAGTGGAGTATCGCTTTAAGCCTTGTCTGTGAAACCAGGAATAATGGGAGTCTTTGTATAATATATTTTGCAGTGACACAAGGGCAAGTGTCAAACTGTGGAATTATTTACAGAATATGAATGATGAAGAATGAGTTGTATTGCAATAAATATTTTATGGCTGAATTAATTTTAACATTCCAGTTTGACCTGCATAAGTTATATAAACATAAAACATGCATCACTACAGTCAAAATCAAATCAAAAATCAAATCAATTCTGCTTAAGCTCAGAGAAACTTGATACTAAAATAAAATTTGTTCTTTTAATTCTATTAATTAAGGATTTTTTTTGAAAGAAGTCTCTTATGCTCACCAAGGCTGCGTTCACAGTAAAAAATGCAGGGTAGTTTTAACCCAATTTTGGTTAAAATATGGACCAATCCAGCCATTGGGTTAAAAATGTCATTAAAAAATGTTTTACCCAAAATTGGGTTAAAACAACCCAGCATTTTTTAGAGTGTTTATTTGATTAGAAGTACAGTAAAACAGTTATATTATGAAATATTATTACAAGTTTAGATACCTTTTGGATATTTTAATGTATTTTAAAATGTAATTTCTTCCTATGATGCAAAGATGAATTTTCAGCATCATTACTCCAGTCTCCAGTGTCACATGATCCTTAAAAACCAAACAATTCTTTCTAATATGCTGTTTGGTTCAGGGAAGATTTATTATTATTGTCAATGTTAAAAAATAGTTCTGCTGCTGTTTATATTTCAATGAAAGTTGAAAGTTGTAAACGTGACTTATGGTCAGGCTGAGGACAGTTAGCCAGTGCCAGAACCTCACTCATACACCCCAATTCCCTGAAGAATATCCATCCACGTTTGACAAATCCCCAAAAGAACATCCAAGAACACACTGATTAGTCATGATTTAAAATATTTGCCTCCATGTCAGTTGACTTCTCGAATATGTGGTTGTCTGGCATTGTCATTACCTACATGTTTACCACTGACTTTCATTGTGAAAAAAAGAAACTGTTATTCAATTACTACTTAGGTTTAAAGCATTATTAAAAGTTGTTAAACCCAGACAGGAACAGTAGCCCCTCATCTGCCTAAAAAAAATAGTCAGATCAGATCTATAATCTAGACGAGCTCCACCTCATCTGTTTTCGATTAAATCCTTATGTGTGCATCTCCTCTTCACACAATACTTCACAAATGCGCCGGAAACATGTCTGAGCATGTGCTTGTGCAGCTCCGGGTGATCCGTCTTCTCAACAAAAGTACAACTTAACACGCTTGACACTAAACTATAAAATACAAGCAGGATTAAAATGTATTTCAATTAAATTACACCAATTGTTTCTATTGGAACTATAGACTTTAGTGCCCCTATATGCTTTTTCAGTAACACAGCTGTTTGTAAATGTAAAATGTCTGCAAAATGTCAAAATTCAAATAGCACGATAAATGGGGTTACTATGTCTCGAAAGAAAGAACCGCGTCTGAACTGCGAAATGAGTTATTTCAGTAATTCATTCAGTAATTTCAAGACAGCAACATAATGACATCACATTTAAAAAGAACATCACACACCTGATGAAAACATTTCTGGAGCTTTATAAGGAAACAGCCAAGTGAACTAAACAACTTGAAACTTATAATAGAGTATGATTACAATTACTTCACGATTTCTAGCATTCGTTAAAGTTTCTAAAGGGTCAAGTCAAGAACATTTTTCTAATGGCCCTGCAGACATCATTTTTTTACAGACAGAACGTTATCTGCATCTCCTGTGCAGCATCAAGCCACTCCCACTGTAAAAAATAAACGTAACTTTAAAAAATGCTACAGTGCAAAACTGTTAATTAGTTAATAGAAAGTTTACGTACGGTAAATAACTGTGATAGATCTCATGGTAATGCAATTTTACTTTAAAATACCATTAAATTTACAGTTTTTAAAAGTGAAAAAGAACAACCCATTGTATAATTTACAGTGAAAACCCATAAATTGACATTCCCACAATTCCCCGTGTGACACTTCACATTTTATGAATTTTTGTTGAAATATCTATTGTTCCTCATAATTTCATTTTTTATACATTAGGGTTTTATTATATTACATTAAATGTGGTTAAATTCATGTTTATTGCATTTTTTTTAATTTCATGTGGGTTACCATTGTGGTGTTTAATGTTTGTGTGACTGACACTGTGCAGCTTCTTTATACAAGTATTAATCTTCATAACGAAATGCTGCTTGTGATGAACTTTCAATGGGTTGGTAAATTAACATTATATCAGATAATGAAATACGATTTATTACTGTAAATTTTAAGTCTGTAAAACCAATAACACTGGTACAGTATTTTTGACGGTAAAGTTCTGGCAACCACAGTTGCCGTTTTTTTTTTTCCGTAAAAATTACGGTTTTATTTTTTACAGTGAAATTAAAACACTGCTTACATTAACTGTACTGCGTGTGTAAGACTCAAATAAAATGATTAGGTGATTATTCCCTCACGTACGAAGAACGGGCCGCAGTTATATTTGCCCCAGTTATATTTCAGCTACTCGACTAATCAAAATTTGAGAACTGGAACTATATGCTTATAAAATTTGTCTCTGTGAAGTAAAATGACTAACCTCTTAAATTATGAAGCTCTTTAATGAACCTTTCCTAAAGTGATGTCTCCAAGGTGATCTTAAACATTTGTGAACATTATAGACAGAATCCATGAATGAAATATGCAGGGCTGGGTGTGTGATCACATCAGGTTGAGGTGTGTGTGTGTGTTTGCGTCTGTATGTATTGAAGAACGTCCATTCACATGTGAAGAGTCCACGTGAACTAGATTCCAGATGGGTCAAAGCAAGCGAGGAGCCAAATCAAATCAAACCTGAGGACTCACTCACCAGCCCATAATAAGAAAGGTTGTGCAGCGCTCGCTCCCTGACTGTGCCAAAGGAACCCAGGACAACGTTGACTCCATCCTTAGCCAGGTTGAAACTGGTTTGAGGGGTTTTCTTTACTTTACCCAGCACAGATCTATTGACTTTAAGTAACTGCTGCCCTAATCCACTGACCAGACTCGGCAGCCCATTACTCTGCAAGAAAAAATAGCATCTTAATACGAGTGTGCTAGGATGATTAATCAAACAAACAAACAATCTGACATTATTTCTTATGCTTTGATGGAGATCTGTTTGTTACTCTCCAATTGTAAAGTAATAAAATACAAAATGGTTTCCTGCCAGGACTGCAAATGAAAGTGTTATGTAATATATTACTTAAATCTCCTTAAAAATTACCATCGAAATGTAATATTTCTGGTGCATTTTTAAAGGTGTGGTCCACATTGTCAATAGTGCAGTGCTGAACGAAGCACTGCTCACACAGAAGTCACTTTCAAGCCATGCACCTTTCTGTTGGCCAAGTGCACTCGAAAAGGAAGCAACTTGAACTGCGTGGGGAACTTTTTTGCCCTTACATGAAACTCCTGATTGCACAGATTCCTATTATTATAACTAGGTTTCACCCCCAACATTTACAATGGTAAAACAATGGCACCTTATAGACCCTTTTACTGTTTGTACACAATGATGACGTGGCTACGTATGCGCAACGGCAGTATGGCGAGAATCAAGCTGCGTGAGCGGATTAAGCAACACAGACCGAGAAAGTTATTTCAGAAAGCCAACTTTATCAAATGTTATCTGGCTACCAGATCCGTGTACTATAGTGGAGTGGATAGGAGACGTTAGCAGATGGCCAAATATACAGTGGCGAGATTTATATTATGCGTATTTAGTTGAGAAACCGAGCGTGTACACCCAAGATAAATTACGAACTTATAAATCACTGGATGCTTATGAATACGCTGTTTGTGGTCATGTCCAGAACGCCAAATACCATGACTCAGACTTTTGTGTGTTGAAATCAGAAATTCTTCCTAGTCAAAGACAAGGACACAAGACAACACAAGACAACGTATAATCAACCATATTACCCCTACATTCATTCTTTCCTACATTTATTCTTATTATTCACCCATACCTACATTTATCCTTGTCTTTACATTTTATGTTGTTATTGATTTCTGTGTTGACACACTTTTGTTTAAAGTTTTATTTTGTAATGCTATAGTACTTTAAAGGGTAACTAAACCCCTGGTCAGAGCCTGACTCCACCCACTGGCAATATTTGAAAATGCTGAAAAAGTGGGCAGACCCTAGCTGAGATAGAAGGGACGAAATAGATGCTAAAACACTCTATCTTGGTCGTTTTCAATACTCACAATTCCAATTCCTGACTCCCTACAGTGGTTTTGACGACACAAGATGGTTTTTATACTGCCAAGGGCGTAGCTCGCGTGGTGAGCTGAAACCTGCGTACGTCGCGAAGTGCGGAACATCCAATTGGAAAATACAACTGCAGTAGCCACCGTTCAACCTGAAGAGGGCAGCACTAAGACGTTTTTACACCATATATTGTAGAAATAGAACACTTTATACACAAATGTCAAAAAAGTTATTCGAATCAATGACTGGTATTAATAAAGATCCATTCTTACAGATCATTAACTAAAAAAAGTTGGTTTACACAATTATCGCCTGCAGCCACAGGCGCCGCCGGTTCTTCTGAAACGGCCGTGATCCTGTCGGAATCCTATAAAACCTTGGTGGAATATCGATTAGTGTAATCGTAAACGCAACAACCAGACATTTTGATGCTGGGAAACCGCTTTGATAAACTTTCAGAGTTGCTAACATGATCTGCTAACATGACCACGTCCGTTGCCAAAATGCGCACGCAACAATTTGATCACGTGGGCTGTAAAAGGGTCTATATGCCTACACACTCAGGCCCCGTTTACACGTACATGGTTATTTTGAAAAACGGAAACATTTTCCTTCGTTTGTGCCCTTTGTTTACACGCAAATTTGCCTCTGAAAACGATTCTTTTTAAAAACTCCGACCAGAGTGGAGATTTTGGAAAACTTTGTTGGCGCATTTGCATTTTGAGTTTTACGCAACCGATGTCACAGTATGGTGATCATGCATTCAGAGTAGCAGTCACATTTATGTTGGTGCAAACCATTTTCGTCTCTTTACATTTGCAAATAAAGCTTGTCTAGTGTGTCAAGGAGCTGTTGTTGATATTTTAGCTTCTTGTTGAGCTTGAGCTTCTTGTTACACTGCCACCTACAGGTTTGGCATGCTCTTGATGGCATACACGAGTTTGTGTAAAAACGAAGACTTTTCTGAAAACTGACTGGTGTGCACAACGTTATTTTTGAAAACGAAGAGGGTGAAATGTCTGTTTATGAAAATAGCCGGCCACGTGTAAACGTACAGTAGCCTCAAACAAACAATCTAGGTCAAATAGTGAAATTGGGAAATTCAATGGAGCGTATGAATGTTAGTGAATTGCACAACATACATAGCTAGCCAGAAAATGTTTCTGAACTGAAGTGAAACTAAAAAGGTCAACATGTAAGTGGTAAATATTTACAATGGTCTTACATTACTAGAACTATTGATGCTGAAAAGATCCACTCACCTCGAGTTTCTCATGCTCATTATTGGTCATCTCCTTCTGAGGAGCTTTCAGAAACGCTGCTACAGAGTTCGGGAGTCCTAGTATTACACCTCCTATAGTCTTCATTGTCTTCATGGTATATTCAACCTTAAAAAACACATGTATGTGCATTGACACTATTCAAGTGCATTGACCAATAGAGAAAGCTGCATGGTTTGAAAGTGACTTCTGTGTGAGCAGGGCTTCATAATGTATTGCTTATACATTTAGTTTAAGTAAAGCCAATAGATTTGCATATAAAATGTAGGCCTGTACTTTAATACAAATAAAATGCATGTGCCCGATTTACTGGGCTCTTTTTAAGTCTACTGGCTTGGCAGGGTGTGGATACATAGTAATTTAGCGTACTAAGTGTACTAATTGAGCGAGCGGTATGCACAACTGTGGTTTCCAAAATGAGGGCTCTTCATTTTCTGTGGGTTCTGTGAGGAGTTCACTTCAAACACTTCAAAAGCAAACATGTGCTCAACACTCAAGTCACATTTTGTACTTGTTGGAAGGACAAACTAACACTTGAATAATGTTTGCTGCTTACCAGGGAACTCACGCCAGGGATCTGTGTGACCAGTTCCTGACCTTGACGTTTGGAGCGCTGAAGCTGTGCAGCTGTCTTCTCAAAGGCACGTCTGCAGATGGCGTCGGCCAGCGCTCTCAGTCTGCCGAAACTGGGATTCTGGCCAGAGGATCTAAAATCAGGCTCCTGCTCTCTCATACTCCCATCATCCTCTGCAAAAAATAAAAAATAAAAAAAATCTTAAGTGAGGACATAATAAGCGGAAGGGTGGTATTTAGACTGCTTTTATGTTCTTTTATAGAGATTCAAACACACACACACATCTTATTCACTGACTCACTCACTCACTGTGATAAATAGACTGCGAAAAGGATCACAGAGTGGTTAAATTCCTTTATGCAGAAATGAAAAACAACAACAACAATGAAATGAACTGAAAAAGTTATTGAAAAAGTTTGGGGTCAGCAAGATTTTAAAAGTTTTTGAAAGAAATCTCTTTTGCTCACCAAGGTTCTATTTAGTTTTGATCAAACTACAGTAAAAACATGATATACTTGTTAATAATTGAGCATCAAATCAGCATATTAGAATCATTTCTGAAGCTTTGATCACAGGAATGAATTACATTTTAAAATATATTCAACCGTTATTTCTAATTGTAATAACATTTCACATTGTTACTGCACGGTAAGTTTCCGTACTATATACGGTAAATAACTGTGATTTTTTTTTTACCACATATTTACCATATACGGTACATTTAATGCAATTTTACTGTAAAATACTGTTTAATTTACAGGTTTTGAAAGTGAAAAAGAACAACTCATTGTATAATTTACAGTGAAAAAACGTAATTTGACATTCCCACAATTCCCTGTGTGACACTTCACATTTTAAGTATTTTTGTTGAAATAACTATGGTTCCTCATACTTTTTCTTGTTTTTTTTAATAATCAGTTATGTAAATTAGTCATTTATGTTACATTTAATGTTATTCAAATAATTTTTATTGCATTTTTTTTTATTTCATGTGTAGTACCTTGAAGACTGCATGTGATGAGCTTTGATTGCTCATGTTGGTGGTTGTCAGTGTACTACAATGGTACAAAACACTAACAGATATCAATTTTTCAAAAGGTTGGAAAATGAAAAGATCTCAGAAAAGGAAGTACGGTTTATTACTGTAAATTTTAAGTTAAGTCTGTAAAATCATATTTTTAACGGTAAAGTTCTGGCAACCACAGCTGCCTTTTTTTACCGTAAAAAGTATGGTTTTATTTTTTACAGTGTACTGTATTTTAAATAAATATATACAATTACTAATTACTTCATTTTTGTCAACTATAGCAATGCTATGATTTTATTAATGTTTGTTTTTTTTCTCAATATTTTTTTGTTCCATATTTTCTTTTACACTGTTGCTTTTCCATTAATAGTTTTGAGCACGCTTCACTGTGACATTTGACCCGATATGTGAAAACACTGTAAAAACTAGCACCATTTTCCGATATAGTGGGGGAAATTAATTCCTCCAGGCTAGAAAATGAGAAAAACAAAAAGAAGGCGGAAGCACTAAATCTTCCGGTCATAGATGATGTAAGGGTTAAAAAGAGAAATTCCTCAGGAAGCACTTCCTCTATGTGTATAAACAGAACAAACATTGCCCAATGTAATAATGACACACATAACCATAAGCTTAAGGCTACAGAAGCATTCAGGCCTTCTCGCTCAATATCAAACATTAAAGGCAATCCAATTCAATTTACAAAAGCAGACAAAACACACACTAAACAGATTCCCTCTACTGAATGTACCATTAAAGATGGCCACAGAAAGACACAACCATGGAAACTGTATTGGGATAGAAATAACCGGCAACGTGCTGCTTCTTTATGGCCTCGTGAGGAAGGAATTACCACATTTGGCACACTTTCACACACATGGATAAACAAAGTATAACCAAAGAGAGCTGTACACAGGAAACTTTTCTAATGAATTAAAGGAATCATCGCCTCTGAGCAGGAAGATGTCTAAAGTCGGGTTCGCACTGCACGATTTGGCCATCTGAGACAATTTTGAAAATCCTAAAAGATTTCTCTGGCCCTGGGCCAAAATTATAAGTCTTTCACGCTTTTGGTGTGAAAGGTCCATTAAATGTGCCAAAAGCTTTAATATATATATATATATATATACTGTATATTATATATATATGAAGAGTTCAGATGCAAAAGCCTCTAAATGCTATTTGAAATTTTCTTCTAAAATTACCAAGCTTGGTAATTTTTATCAAGCTTGTATATTTAAGTTCAGTAATTTCACTTAAATTGCAATGAAGATAACCTATTAATTGTCATTTAAGTGAAATTACTGAACTTGAATATATAAGCTTGATAAAAATGATCATTCTAGAAGAAAATTTCAAATGGCACTTAGAGGCTTTTGCATCTGAACTCTTCATATATATATATAAAACAAGCAAGCTAGCCTAATATAAAATATAAATAATTAATTGCTAAATTGCTAATTGCTAAATAATGGTGTGATGAAACACCCTCTTTAAAACATACTATTAATAGATGATGCAATTTGAAGCCATGAATGAGAATACGTGCCTCTGGACACATCTCTGTAGATAAATAGACACACAGTGGACACTTAAAGATGAAATATTACATTTAACAGAGAGCAAAGAGAAAACATCACTAGTAGGTATTCCAGGCAATGAGTCACTAGACTAAATCAACACTTGTTTCTATATCAACTTTATCTGTGTCTCTAAGACTTGAAATTCAATCCATAACACAATAAAACATTTTTATATGATGTAGTTGATAGAAAAAATAGAATTGAAAAGACAATGTTTACATTTAACAGAATGGATGCAATTGCTAAATGCATGGTTTAACTAGTATGGAAGCATTTAAGCCACATAAGAGAACAAAAGTATGACATAAAAAAGTTTAAAAAAAAAACTTTTAACGTTAGAATCATAGCTTTTTGTCACCCTCTTTTTGTCATTGTTTCATAATCATGATTTACCAAAACTTCCATATGTAGTCCAAATGATAAAGCACATGTTCAGGGACTTTAACAATAACGTTTCGGTGACATCTAGTGTCTAGCTTTTAAAAGCACATGCACATTGCCGCATTGAAATTATTTGATATACAGTATATGATTATCTTTTACAAAATGAGAAATGAGGAACGTTCACAAAAATATGCACCGATATTGTGTAGGAATAAAGGGGCAATAATAAGCATATAACCTTATTTGAATACCTGTCTCAGCTGAAGATACAGGAAGGACGTATTCGACCAGGTTCTCCGTCAGACTTAGAGCCCTGTTGGCTCTCTGTTCGGCCAGGTACACGAGCTTGCTGTTAAGGACAAACTGTATGCCGTCCCTTATGGCATTCTTGCTCTGCTGGTACCCAGTAGATACCTTGTCCAACACAACATTAGAGGTTTGTTTGATTGGACAGGCGATTCCATCTTTGGCGGTTTCCAAAGTTGAAGACATCAGCTCTTTGATATTTGCTGCCAGCTGTTGTGGGACAAGCAAACAAAGTACATGCATTTTAAATGTCTGCCAACTACAGTTAAAAGGAACTTAGAGAGCAGTTTTAACCACATTACCTCTGCAGGCTGAGACTGCAAGGCCGGTACCTTCTCCTCAAGGCGGTCCAGTCCTCTGCAAGCCATTGAATTGGCTGCTACAACTATGAATAATACAATTTTACGTTTTATACTTAAGAGAGAAACATTAAAATATAAGCTAACACATCTTTCAGTAATGCAAGTATATGCTGATTCATTTGATGAAAATATGAACAGGCTCTTTAAAGGGATAGTTCACTTTGAAATTAATTTTTGATATGTTTTAGCTTACCTCAAGGGCATCCAAGATGTAGGTGTCTTTGTTTCCAAAGCATTTTCAATTTTGACATTTTTTGGTCAAACCGTTCTTGTCTGTCAGTCATATAATGGAGGTTAAGAGGGTTCTCCCTTGGTTCACCCCGAAGAGCATGCACAGAGAACTCAAAATTAAACATGATTTAATGACTCGTGAATGTAAGTACACACTGATGGCCTAAGACACGAAACGAGCGGTTTGTGTGAGAAAACGAACAGTATTTATATCGTTTTTATCTCTTGTTAACAGCCGTCGAACTGATCTGAACCGAACTGTCTCCAGACGTTACGCTGGAAGTGATCCCTCGCGCGTCTACGTCACACATTGTTTACACAGAGATTTCGTAAGTTTTACCTTTTACTAAACATATTTAGATATATCGAAATCGTCTTCCATTGCGATTTCCCGTATATCTACATGTATAGTGAAAGGTAAAACTTACGAAATCTCAGTGTTAACAATGCGTGACGTAGACGTGCGAGAGATCACTTCCGCCGTAAAGTCTGGAGACGGTTCAGTTGGACATCTGATTCAGACGGCTGTTAACAAGAGGTAAAAACGATATAAATACTGTTGGTTTTCTCACACAAACCGCTCGTTTCGTGTCTTAGGCCATTAGTGTGTACTTACATTTACGAGTCATTAAATCGTGTTTAATTTGGACTTCTCTGTGCATGCTCTTTGAGGTGAAACCTGCATTATTATATGATTAACAGACAAGAACGGTTTGACCGAAAAATGTCAAAATTGAAAATACTGTGGAAACAAAGACACCTACTTCTTGGATGCCCTTGAGGTAAGCTAAAACATATCAAAAATTAATTTCAAAGTGAACTATCCCTTTAAGAATGTTTCCTAGATAGCGGTAACTGTTTTCTATTTTAATACATTTTCAAACATAATTAATTCCTGTGATGTAAAAGTTAAATTTTCAGCATCATCACTCATTGAGGGGCGCGTATTGAGGGGCACAAGGGTGCATATTGGGACAGGGCCCCTGTCTGTTTCAGTTCATGTCACGGAGTCGTTGTTGAATGTCACACTACACTTCTGATGTCTGTTACAAGTCTGTTCTTGTTTTGTTTCTTGTTTAGTTTATGTATTTGTTATTAGACTGATTAAAATGGATTTCGACCCTTGCATGGATGGCTATGATTCTGATTACTTGGTTTTTGACTTTGTATGGATGACGACGAATTGAAGTGCACTGATTTTAACATTACTATATTTTGATCAACCCATTCCTCTGTATTGTCCCGTGACAAGTTTAAATACTGTACGCCTATATATAACATACACAGAATGCTGCAGTTACATGGCCTATACTGTACTGAATGTGGATTATGCCATACCAGATAACAAAATATCAAACTATTAGCTCATTACAAAAAGGAAATCTGGCGAGTCAGAGTGCTAGTAACATGTAATTACGTCTCTCGGCAGATTAGTCTTGTGTAATGCTCAAGTGGGTCCTTGAAGGGTTCAAATATTTAACATGATTGCCCAATTATTGATCTAATCACAAACCAGAGTTCAATTTGGCAATTCCAGACAATTGCCCAGGCTGCATTGCATTTCTCAACTTGTATTTGAATTCATGTAACAAATATACAAAGGAAAAAAAACAGCAAAAACTAAACAGCACTTGGCCTATATTTATTAGTAGCCCATTGTTCAAGTTAAATAAATTATCTGTCACTATTAGATCACTATTAAATGTAAATGAATTTGTCAAGTCAGGAACATGCAGTACAATAATCAGGTCACTGAACTGATAGATTTAGCATTGCCCTGAAAGCAGAGCATCCACTAGTGGACTTACTGCGTCTAGACAGACTCTCTCCGCCTGGAGCATCAATATCCACATTTTAAGACCAAAACACCTCATTTTAGGCTTACCAGATTACTCATTTTTGCAGGATCTCACTAAAACAGAATTGATTGCAATACAAAAATAAGATATTAGGCTGCTGGATTTCTTTTGTTCTTCCTATATTCTGACTGATTTATTGTCAAACTGGAATCTGAAATGCAGACTCTATTCCTTTAAATCAATTTGAAGACATTAGATCACTAATTGTCCCCAAAACACAAAGACATTCTATAAAAACTGATCATTTTACTTGCGGGTCTGACAAGGAAGACGTACATACATTTTTTATTTTAAATCTATAGGTTTTAGTAGCGTGTTAAGACTATTTTCTTCAGATTTTTTTAACAAAAATGTAAGAGATAAACATTTAAACTGAATTGTTACACCTTTTGTGTTTGTTTGACCCGAAAGTGAGCTGTGGCTTTACACATTTACATTTATGCATTTGGCAGACGCTTTTATCCAAAGCGACTTGCATCGCATTTCAAGGTAGGCTACACATTTACATTCTTATCACCAATCGAACCCATGAACTTAGCGTTGGCACTACAGCTCTACTGTTTGAGCTACACATGAAATTATGCTGCTTTTTTAACTTCTATTACTTAGATTTGTCTCAAATTACTTCTGTAAAATCCATTTAGCTTCTTTCCTAGTCATTTTAATGAAATATGAAATATTTTCATTTTAATGAAATGAAAAACTCATTTTAAATGGTTAACTTTTAAGGAATTAATTTGATTCTAATTAGTTAAATTTAATTCATAATATTGCTTGTAATCTGTTGCCACAATTTTATTGATTAGATAAAGCATATTAATTTTTACAGTGTACACTCACACACACATTTTTTCCGTCCTCTGAGACTGCATTTTGTTTACAGACATCATGCTAGCGCATACACACACTAATTCTGAAATTGAGATAAAACAATAAAAAAAATGTCTCAATGTATTTGTCAAGCAAAAGTGCATAGAGCAAGACTAAATTTTAAAAACGGAAAGAGAAAAAACACATTTTAATTTGCTGCCACCTACAGGTATTGATGGAACATTGCAGAGTGAAAATGAAATTAAAACTGTTTTTAAAACTGTTTTTCATCATCATTTTTTTTTATATGAAAGTAAAAGAGTATGCAAGTAAAATGAATATATTTAGTTTGAAAACATGTCAGAGTAATAATGTGTTGTTTTGTTTGAAAAATAATATGTTGGTTACATAAATTTAGACTGTTTTGAGCAGAGAAAGTTTCAATTAATTTTTTAAGAGTTCATAAATAAAAAATTTCTCATAATCTCTTTTCTTGCATTGACTTACATTTTGCTTATGTTCCACCGGGTGCCGTTTTTAATGCTTTAGGAGGATTAATAGCATAATGACTTTTAATAATACAGAAGATTTAAAGACTTACGCTGGGGCTCCAGTACATGGAGGGCAGGTTGCAAACTCCAAACAGCCAAGCTGCCAGCCCTCCTCACACCTTTCTCATACAGCCCACACACAGACCTTATGATGGAATGAGACTGTTTCGTGCTGGTGTACGTCTTCTCAATGGATTCGAGAGCAGCACTGACAGATCGAAGATTGAGGATCCGAAGAAATACATTCTGGAAGGAAAAACTTGTCATGCTTCTTGTTCACTTTTACACTCACACATGAAAAAGCCCATTAAAACAGTGCAGTCATGAGTTTCTTATTTAGCTTTCTACTACAGTTTTTAATCCAGTTTTAGCCCACCTTTTCATAGCCTATATAACAAAAGTGACCCCCCAAAAGAACAAATGCATTCATATAAAAAAGTGAAAGACAATAACCTTAAAAAAAGAAAGCTGGAGGACACCTGTCACAAAATTAAAGCAGTACCTGACTCTTCAAAACATCACCGGTGTCCTTTTTTTCAGACGCCATCTCCGATAGTCTTCAATGAAATGGTGAAATGTGAGAGAAACTTTAGCTGGTCTAATCCCACATGTACACAACCATCTCGTGACAGAATTATTAGATCATGAGTAGGATAAAGCATGGGCAAGTCTCACAGTAAAGCTCAGTAGCCTATATAAGACTGACATTAACAAATCACAGACTACTCTGAGTCTCAAATGAACTACACCCACCGAACACTGGCAACCATGTCATGATTTCAAAATCTCTCCCGAAATTATGCAAATGTGTTTTATTGCTAAATCCCAAAGTCTGTATTTACCATGATGACAAACTGAAATCAATTTAGGCATGTGCAACAGAAAAACCCAACGTTTGCCTGGCTGATGGTTCTAGGCCTGATGAAAAAATGTTTAATTTAGTTATATTCAGCCTAAAATGATCTTCCCAGCAAACAAATTTAGGTTCTGGGAACGTTAGTTTTTGGTTCTCAGGACGTCCCTAGAACTTTCCCTTAAGGTCAAGTGAACATTCCCGGAACATTCTCCTTACGTTATAAAAATGGAACCTAAAAATAACCTACATGGAACGTTCTTATAACGTTCTTGTTTGGTTCCCCAAAAAATAACCTCACGGGAGCATTTGGTAACGTTAGGGGAACATTCTGTGTTTGCTGGGTTGCTAATCTCTCCAGCCCAAGCTCTCCTTCTTCTAGCTTTACCATGAAAACTGTTTGAAGAGTTAACAAACCAAATAAGACCAGCATCTTAAACTGGTTTCGGGTGTTGTTTTTTTAGCAGGGCAAATGCGATGGTCTACTAAAGTCAAAGATGGCTGAAATGTGACCACCAGAGGGCAATATTTCACTGTTGGAAATGTGCAGCATGTTAAGCCTAAATATATTAAGGTCATGTTAACAATAATAACTAGCGTTATTTTTGCTAGTTTTTTCCTCATGTTGCACGTTTTTCCCTAGTACTACTAGATGTCCGTGTTCCACAAGCACCTGTCACCTATATAATTTTTGCCACTAGATGTCAGAATTTCTCTAGCTTCTACTACATTCACCCTGAAAATGCTGTGAAAATGAGCCCATACTTTTCAGTCAATGACGAAAACTATAAAACGATGGTTTAATGTTTTAGCACATAAAGGAATGTTTTCTATATTAGCTTTCTAGCATGAGATGTTTTCACAAAGAGAAATGTTTATAGAGAAATGTTTAAATGTTTACAAAAGCCTGTTGTAGACTGATTTTTTTATGTGAAGGACATTTTCAAGGGAAACTCAAAAGGATGTGACCTTTACGTGTGCTCAGGAGAACCTCTTTTTCTCTGAAACATGAAATTGCTTTTTTGCTCAGGATAATGCCAAAAGAGCTCATCTGTACTGCATTGTTAAAGGGACACTTCACCCCAAAATGTAAATTTGCCCATGATTTACTCATCCTGCCATCCTTTGTGAATGACATGACAGTCTTCTTTTTCAGACGAATACAATCTGAGTTATCTTAAAAATTGACCTGGCTTCCAAGCTTTATAATAGGGTGAATGGATGTCTGTCTTTGGAAGTCCATCGAAGCGGATCTTTTCATGATTAAAGGGCTTCACGTGTCTCCGGGGGTCAACAAAGGCCTTCTAAAGTGAATCGATGCGTTTGTGTGAGAACAATATCCATAAATATCCATACATAAATGCATCACTTCACTTCAGAAGGTCTTTATTAACCCCCCTGAGCTGTTGGAGCACTTTAATCATGGATGGATGCACTTTTGTGGACTTTACTGCCATTATAAAGCTTAGAAGAGCTGGACATTTTTATTTTATTTTATCATAACTCTGATTGTATTCGTCTGAAAGAAGAATGTCACATTGGATAGCTTGAGGGTGATGGGCTAATTCTCATTTTTGGGTGAACTATCTCTTTAATGTGTAGTTATGCAAAGAGATTAATTTAAATTATAGTCTAGCCAGATCAATAGTCTCAAATTTGCTTTATCAAACTGTCACCTCATCTGTCAACATGATCCCAGTGAATCACAGCTGGTGCAAACATATCCAGATGCTATCTTAACTTTATTTTGTTATTTCGAGAAAAGAGTGCAACGAATAAGTTTATTAATTTAACCTTCGCTCTCAACAGCGTGGACGGTGTCTGGATGCTTGTTAGCATGTCGCTGTAAAGGTTTTCCCAACTTCTTTTTTTTACTTCTAAACAAAAAAAAATAAAAACAACTAAATCACTTTCAGTCTCTTGTACGTTACCGTGTAGAGAAGAGTTTAGACTATGGTGCGAACGCGAGCACTAAGTTGCTTCAGTTCACTTAGTGGCCACCGGTGTCGCTATTAAAAAGGTTTTCTGAATTCCACACATAGCCCTTTTGAAGTTATTTTATTTAATCTAGGTGCAAAGGCAACCATTCTTATTTTTGTTTAAATACTAAAATAACTAAAACTAGAAAATCTATATAGAAAAAAATATCAGAAAAACTAATACAAATTGAAAACAGAAAAAATACTAACAAAAACTATAGTGATACTATATCAATGATTTCTAAAATATGCAAAGGAAGTGGGTGAAGTTCTTTTTTTGGGGAAGTTTCGTTACAAACTGGCAAAAAACAGCATTAATACATGCAAATTAGGCCCTTCAAGTTTTTTTTAATTGATTTTATTTCAGTTTCAAAACTGTTTTGTTGTTATAGTTTAATAATATATTTTTTTATAACCATGATTTATAGATTTTCCAAGAAAAAAAAGAAATGTGGATTATATTGAGCTGCTTAAGTATTGTGAAAACCTTTCTTTCATTGCTGTTAACCTGGACATTCCTTATAGTTCAACTCTATTAAAATGCATTGAATGATGAATACAGCCATACAAAAAAAAAAAAAAAAAAAATCAACTTGGAAATTATGACTCACTGCATATATGAACAAAAAACACCTTGACTAGTCATTCCAATTGAGATCACTGATTCACCCCTAAGGATTAGCTTATCCACAGCACTCTTTTATTAGTTTAGACTTTGCTTTACCTGTAATAAATGTTTCAATTCAATCTAAATGTATAGCAGGCAAAAAGACTTTGTCCATTATGCCAACTAAATAATTGTGTTTCGCATTTCAGGGACACATTGTGAAAGAGGTGAACAGGAGTGCTTGTGCTGATACACACACACTGTCTGTGACTGCATGTCTCAATGATGTGGATCCAGCCGTGTCTGTAATAGCATCTGAAATGTGTTTCCAGCCACATTGGGAGCTGATGGTAAGAAAAGCAAAAACTATTTTTTGCTAGTAAAGTTGAATATGGAGAGTCCGATACTGTTTAAAGCCGATATTATCAATAGTGATACCAATGATGATAAAGTTAGAGACAAGACAATTCAAAACAATTCAAAAGGAAACAACAGTCACTAAGGAGCTTAACAGACACAAAACACAAAAACCAAAGAAGTGAGAGATCAAAGGAAGAAAATATTATTATCATACCGCAGAGATGAAAAATAGATTGCAAGATAAGAATTAAGGCCAGGATGATCATTTCAAAGGCATCCAGAAAATGCTGTGTACTGCATCTTAGTCAACTATTATGCTGATCAGTGTACCGCAAGAGATTTTAAATGTGGCATGAAATAAAAAGTAAAAAGTGACAATTTCCTGAGCTCCAAATATTAGAATGATTTCTGCAGGATGTGAGTAATGATGCTGAAAAATCAGCTTTGACATCACAGGAATATATTATATTTTAAAATATTACTGTATAGAAATTATAATGCTGTATTATTATTATAATGTATTATAAATTACTGTATTTTTAATCAAATAAATACAGCCTTGGTAAGCATAAGAGACTCCTTTCCAAACATAAAAAAATCTCAACATTTTGATTTGTTATCACAACATATTTTCTTTTGTCAAATCAACTTTATAATAATTTATTTAGTTGAGATAACTTATAATTTTGAGTTTCTGATGATTAAATTAATCTCCTTCATTGTATTAACTCACTTTTTCCAGTTCAATCAACTTAACATTTTAAGTTAAACCAACAATATTTTTGTACAGTGTAGTAATCACAGCATTTTTTCTTTAGTCAAATCAACTTAAATAATTTATTTAGTTCAGATAACATATAATTTTGAGTCTCTGATGATTAAATCAATCTCCTTCATTGTATTAACTCACTTTTTCCAGTTCAATGAACTTAAAATTTTAAGGCAACCAAGTTACTTACTTTTTTAAGTTAAACCATCAATATTTTTGACAGTGTCAGTGGTGTGTGAATGAATAAGTCAGGATGATTGCAGCTATATATTTATTCCGGTAATGAAAATAATGCATATTGCTGGAACGATTGGTCATTTGTACATTGAGAACAATATAATAAACAGTAGCTTTTGTTTAGTCTTTATCAACTGAATGAACGTGTCCTATACATAATCTACACTCACCTAAAGGATTATTAGGAACACCACACAACTGTGTTTGACCCCCTTTTGTCTTCAGAACTGCCTTAATCCTACGTGGCAGTGATTCAACAAGGTGCTGAAAGCATTCTTTAGAAATGTTGGCCCATATTGATTGGATAGCATCTTGCACTTGATGGAGATTTGTGGGATGCACGTCCAGGGCACGAAGCTCCCGTTCCACCACATCCCAAAGATGCTCTATTGGGTTGAGATCTGGTGTCTGAAACTTGCAGGATATTATAATATGATGTCAAAAGCTTGAGGAAAATTTGATTTCTCAGTTCATCACCCCTTTAAAAACATGCTGTTATATGAACCATAAATGGCTCCCTTTATGGCTCCCATAAAGCAGTTCCCTTCACAAGGCATTGCAAGATGTCTTTTTGGGGCCTGTATATTCAATGTTACATAAAACTTAACATGAAACACCTAAATGTGCAGAACTGATAACTAAAATAATATAAATAGAATAAAAAGGTAATCCATCTAGGATCTGTTTGATGATTGGTCATCGCAGTGAGAATATTTGTGTTCAGTGATTGCCTATCAATGCAATTATCAATTCCCCCAAAAAAAACAAAAAACTTTTCCTAGAATATATAAGTCACAGCTGCAGTCAAAGAAGGTCATCTGATGACTGCAAGCCTATTGATAGAGCAGTACGTTGTCATTGAATAAAAATGAAGCTAATACATTGATGTCTACTTGCAGTAATGCAGCATGTCTCCTCTGAGCTTGCTTCCCACAGGCACAGAAAGCCGATGTGACTCACTAAAATCCTGTATACCATCCCTCGAGACTCTTATTAAGCGAACACAGCAGGGGTTAAGATGGGCCATCTTCCTTCTATCTCACATCTACCAACAGCCACAGGAGAAAGTCTACCAGAAAGTGTGGTATGATCGATGCA